AAAGAAAATAGTATCATACATGTATGTAGCATTTTCACCTTTTTACAAATACAATACAAACCACAAGGAAATGGAATCATTCAAAACTTCACTATCTTACCTTATCCAAAAACCTTTTATTCTTTTTACATTTTTTTTATCTAATAAACTTAGCTTTTAGAATAAAGTCATGTTTGAAATTGTCCAATACCATTTGTGTACTTTAGACTTTATGTGAAAAAATTACATGGTGCAATATATTCAAAGAATAAGTATTGTAGGTAAGTGAAGGCGAAATCAAAATTTAAAGTTTATGATTTTTTAGATTGTCAACAATTTCAAATTAATAATATATATATATATATAATAATAATTTTTAATATAGAATTAAAATTATTAATTTCTATGATACAGATTGCTAAAATTCTGAATTCACCCGTCGAGTCATGGAAAAATATCATAGCCACATGGTCCATGTCCAATTGGTCCACCAAGGCAAAAATGGTGATGCATTTTGGTGGGTAAAGGATTGGACATGTGTGCCCAGTAATGGCTTCAGAAAGTGGCAGATACAATTATATATGGGCTCACCGATTCGATAGAATTCAATATATATCCTCAAAAAAGTAAATATATATATATATAAATTATATATGTATTTAAATTGATCTTTTCAACTCAAAATTTATAATGTCTAAATTTAAGATGTTATTAAACTACTCAGGAGTAGAGTTAAGGAGCCGATATTTATCAAAAAGCTATATTATATATACATAAATTTATTTTTATGTATATAAAATAGGTTTTAAATCTCTTTAATTTTAGATATATTTATTTATTTTTAAAATTTTCAAAATAAATTTTGTGACTCCGTACCGTATAATTGACTAACAAAATTAAGAGTGGTCTAGGTCAGCAGATGAAAGTGGAGAGAAATATTGTTTGCCACCTCTAAGTTTTTTGATGATCCAACACAAGATTATGTGATCTAATATTAATTAATGCCACCATATATATGTGTTGTTGTGTTTTATTGATTTTTTATCTAGTGTTCGATATTCATATTGAAATTTGATTAATTTAAATTCACGTTGTGTAGGGCCTCATTCAGAGGGGAGAACTCTTCCTATCAAAGATCTGTCATGCATCCACTGCATCATATCCATTGACGGTACCATATATATGTGTTAGAGAGTATGAGCTTTGCTTTATCTTTTAAATAGTTAGTACTATTTAACTCTCCCTATAATTCCATGCAAATCTATTATTATTTGAATAAGTACTCCCTCCCAATTCCATTTAGTGTAGTACTATTATTATTTGAATAATGAAAATATTTTTAATCATGAAAATTATGTATTAATTTGGTCATTATAGTCTAAACCTCATGGTATATAAATGGAACCAAGGGACTATTTCGTGATTTTATATTATTTGGCCTTTATATTAAAATTAAATACTTAGGTTATTCAATTTATAATTATATTTTTTCTTATTTATCTTTTGTATTTAATAATTATATAAAATAGTAATGGTTAAATTTAAAATTCTAAAGCATTATCAATAAAATTAGTTAAGTAGCATTCACTTTGAATTAAATTATACTATCAGATCAACATGAGTCAAATAATATAAACACCATAGAGAGTAAAAATAAGTTGAAGAAGTGGTCATTGGTGCTCCTCCATTCATATTAATGGAAACCTAAGCAACCAATATTAGTCAACTTTTGGTGATTTTATTAAAGTAAATGTCACTCAACTTCATCAACTATGGCCACACGTGCATTTCAATATATTGAAGATTCTTTGTTTTCATAATAATCTCTTGTGTTTGGCTAATTAATTTTAATTTTTTTTAATCAATTTTAAAACAATAATTTTTGGTCAAGTTTTCAAAAATACTTTTGAGGATTTATTTTCCTTTTTAAAATAATAATACTCCATCATATGTATTTTAGGATGACTCAGCTGGTTCGGATTAATGGTGGTTATTCATACGGATGATCCAAGATCGATCCCTTCAAATCTCAATCCTTATGAATCGAGTCGGTCACATAGAATTTGTCTAGTGCGGTTTACAATTTTTGTATGATTTACATGCTATTATACTCGAAGAATAAAGAATGTGACAGAAGTTATAGCGATCGAATATTATCCTGAGATTTAAAAAAAACAATATTAGGAGTATCTAGCTTCATTGAAATTAGAAATTGAGAGTTCACACCCTTATATAGAAACAAAGAATAAATATAAGAATTAGAATAAGAATAACGGCAATAAGATCTAACTATGGATGGTCCAAGAAAGACTTAGAAGAAAAGAAGAAAAAAAAAGATTCCTCCACTTCCACTTTCTTGTGTTTGTTCGAAATCGTCAAATGATACAATTTTATTAATCAAGTTAAACTGTATTTCAATAGTTCTATAGATCAATCAATAAAAGCTAAAATAAAAGGGAGCTTCAACATATAAATATGTACGTTTTCATCAAAAGATACCGTGCATTGAATGAGATTGTTCCTTTATTTATCAAATATAGTGCAGTGAATAAAATTGTTTCTTTATTAATCAAAAGATTTTGGGTTTTAGTCCAGAGTATGAATTTTTTTTTAGTAGAAAGCATTTTTTTTGATTGGACCCTACATGACACAAATTCAGATATATTCGGTCTTCAATACGAATACCAAACACTCTATGAAAAAACATAAAAAAAAAACATGTCCGCCTAAGCCTATATTAATTGTACAAGACTTCAAAACTAAACTGGTGTATATAACCAACAGTAAGTTAATCAAAGGACAAATCGATGTACAAAGCATATCATGTTAGTAAGATTTGGAGAGCTGCACTCCAAGAGATATGATGCAGAGACAATCTATTCCGACCCTAATACAAAAATAAATTATTGCTTCCACGACTCTAACAATAAGATGGAGAAGGATAATAAGGTGGACATGAAAAATGATGGGTAAATAGCTAGTTGCAGTGGAATCCTAAAGCTAGTGTTTTGTTATAGGTTCTAAAGATTATTTAAAATATCATTAAGTTTAATATAAAATTATTATTTTATAAAAATGAATTAGATAATACATTATTTAAAAATTATAACACGATATTTTAATAAAAATTACTAATAACATAATTGTCAATTAATTTATCAAATTACAATTAGTTATAAATATTATAGATATACTATTAATCATGCGTTTAGACAAAATTTTCTAACAACAGAGAACGTTCAAAAATGTCATCAACATATAGAAATTGTTCAAAAATGCCCTTCTTCCACCAAATGGATCAAATTTGCCCCTCCTTCCACCTATTGGATAAAGACACCCTTAACCTATTAGAAATTGTTCAGATTTGCCCCTCCTCATTACACTTATTGGATCAAATTTGAAACATTTCTAATATGTTAAGGACATTTTTGACTCAATAGGTGGAAGAAGGGGTAGATTTGATTCAATAAGTGGAAGGATGACATTTTTGAACTATTTCTAATACATTACCAATAGTCAATGTTAAATATCTATGTGAGAGGTTGTTAGGGTGTATACTATTAACTATGCATTTAGATATAATATATTATACCAATCGTGATAGTTAAAATTTTAAGTGAAAGATTATTGTGATATATACTATTAATCATATGTTTAGATACAATATTTATTATAGAACAATTGTTTATTCATTTTAATTAAAAAATCAATAGATGATTTATTTGTTTATGTGTCCGTTTACTTATATAGTAATAGGTGTATAAAATTTTAGCTTATATACAGAAGATTAAATCATCGATTTTATAAATATAATTTTGGTGTACTCCAAAACATGTAGGGGAATACTATTTATGGCTATCCAAATAGCCCATAGAAAACACAATCTATCTCATATGAAAATGAAAAAGAAAAAAAAAGTCTAACTTGAATTAATTCAAAATATAAGGGTGTTTGACTAAAATGCAAATTCCAAAATCCAAAAAATTAAAATAAGATAAAAAATCATTGATTGTGTTTTCCTAAAATATGTCTATAAATAATAAAGAATATCAATTTCTGATTCACAATTCAGAAAAATCCGATATTGAATTAATACAACGATAATCATATAATGTTGATTTATTGACAATATTGTATTATGTCAATCCCACAATATATGTCCATGAATTTTGATATGATAGTAAAATTTTCACATAACTCGTTAGTCAAACTACTCATTTAATAGTTTGGCTAAATGTCTTTTTAACTAAAGGTTGTGATTTCGCGAAGTCATTACAAATCAATTTGAATGTATCTTTAAGTAAAGTACTATTTAGGACGTGTATATTTACTTGTTTAATTTTAATACGTTTAAATACATAATTGGTGCACATTCAAATATAAAAGGCATAAATATCAAGATATCAAATTAAATGACACATTTATACATTATGTCTTAGCCAAACTACTAGTAAATTAGTTATTGAGTTAAGAGTCAAAAACACACCTAAATTATTTCATTTTATCAAGTTTCTTTTCACTAGTAAGAGTATGAGTTTCCTTTATGAACTATCACCCAATGATTCCCGAAATACACTCAGACATTGACTAGACCAAATGTTTTTCTAGAAATGCTTCTAGGCGCGTTTGTACCTAAAATCTTCGTCCACCTACACATATAACGACTCTATTTGCTGATACATTAATTCTTTAAAATATATTTTATATTGACTTCTTTAAACTCTGAACTCTCTCCTTCAAGTCAGAGATATCGATATAACGACAGAGTCGAGACCACAAAGAAGATGGTGGATGCCACGGTTGGAATAAATTAATTTATATGATGATAATTTTAACCTTTAACCTTAACTTTTAATCTAATATTAATTTATTTTGATCTACAATAGTGAAATTATTTTTTCACGTGAAGTACCACGTAACAAAACTTTTAAACAAACGAGAGAGTTTACCCACCCTATCAGAAATTAGTGTCTCGCTATGTTTTGCTAACTATTGAGTGATAAATTTTAAAAAGGAAGATTTGAAAAAACCGCGCTTTCCTTTCTCCTTCAAAGTTCAAAGTTCTCCAATGGAAGCTTTATTGGATTCTCAGTAATGATAACAAAGCTGAACCCTTTACATGGCTCCCTTCTTCTGTCTTTCTCAGAATTTTCACTTTCCAACCTTAAATACTCAACTTCTTCGAAGACCCTTTTCAACGCCGGCACTAAAACGAACAAATTCTTGATTTACTGTAACACCCAAATCGCAGAAAATGGCCGAAACGGGGACATTAAAGAAGCTGAATCCATTTTCTACCGTATGCCCAGCAAAAATATCGTTTCTTGGACGGCAATGCTCACTGCATACTCACAGAACAGACAACTCAAGAATGCACGTGAAGTGTTCGATAAAATGCCTGAGAGGAGTGCTGCTTCGTGGAATGCAATGCTGACTGCTTACATGAGGAATAGAGTTGAAATTAATGAGATTTTTAGTTTCTTTCAGCTTATGCCGGAGAGAAATTCGGTGTCTTTTGCTGCGATGATTACCGGGTTTGTTAATGCAGGGAGAGTTGATATGGCAAAGGATTTGTATAATCGGACTCCTATGGTTTTTCGGGAACCTGTTTGTTCAAATGTATTGATTAATGGATATTTGAAAGTTGGGAAGTTAGATGATGCAGTTCGTGTTTTTGATGGTATGGTGCGGAAAGATATTGTTTCTTGTAGTGCAATGATTGATGGGTACTCTAAGAATGGGAGAGTTATTAAGGGTCGGGAGTTGTTTGATACGATGAAGGAGAGAAATGAGGTAACTTGGGGTGCTATGATTGATGGGTATATGAAAGTTTGTTGTTTCGAGGATGGGTTTGATTTGTTTCTAAGAATGAGAAGAGAAGGTGATGTGAGACTGGAGCCTACTATACTAACAATCGTTTTAGAAGCTTGTGGAAGATTTAGTAAGCATCAACAAGGTTATCAAGTCCATGGGTTGGTATCTCATGTGGGATTTGAATTTGATGTTTTCTTGGGTAATTCATTGATCACCATGTACTCTAGATTTGGTTGTGTAGATTCAGCTAAAAGTGTGTTTGATTCGATGTTAAGGAAAGACGTCATTTCATGGAATTCACTTATTAGTGGTTTTGTTCAAGCTGGAAAACTTGGAGAGGGATATGAGATTTTCAAAAGAGCTCCGGAAAAGGATGTTGTTTCGTGGACAGCCATGATTACAGGGTTTTCTGAAAAGGGGTTGACTGAAATTTGTGTCGAGCTATTTAAAATGATTCCCGAGAAAGATGATGTTGCATGGACAGCTCTTATCTCTAGTTTTGTAAATAAAGGGGAGTATGAGGAGGCTTTTCGCTGGTTTGTTAAAATGCTTCAAAGTGCAGTTAGACCAAATCCTCTAACTTTAAGTAGTATGCTTAGTGCTTCAGCTGGTATGGCCATGTTGAATCAAGGACTGCAAATTCATGCTCTTGTTTTGAAAATGGATATGGAGTTAGATTCGTCTATCCAAAGTTCTCTTATCTCAATGTATTCGAAGTGTGGAAGTTTAGATGATGCTTATAGGATCTTTAAATTCATAAATTACCCGAATATTGTTTCTTTCAATGCAATGATTACTGGATTTGCACAAAATGGCTATGCCAGAGAAGCACTTAAGTTGTTTCACCAGTTGCAGAATGAAGGTGAGCAACCTAATGGTATCACTTTTCTAGGGGTTCTATCAGCATGTATGCATGCAGGGCTCGTAGAAGAAGGATGGAACTACTTCAAATCGATGAAATCACTATACAGCATTGAACCAGAGCCTGATCATTATACTATAATGGTTGATATCCTAGGACGAGCTGGTTTACTCGATGAAGCAGTTAGTCTAATCGATTCTATGCCATTCAAGACACATTCTGGGGTTTGGGGTGCTCTTCTTGGTGCCAGCAAGACTCACTTGCGCCTTGATCTTGCAAAGCTTGCAGGTCAAAAGATTTTGGACTTAGAACCAAGTAATGCAGCTCCATACGTGGTCTTGTCTGATCTTTATTGTATTGTCGGAAAGAAGAAAGACGAGGAACGAATTAGGCTGGCAAAGAAATTGAAAAGAATAAAGAAAATTCCAGGTTGCAGTTGGGTTTTGTTGAAAAACAATATTGGTTTATTTCTCTCTGGAGATCAGTCCCATTTGAACTTTGATGAGATCAGCTGCACATTGTGGACGATTATGGATGACACGAAACAAGTAAGTTGCATGGATCATGACTTGTTATCACCGTAAAAAATGTTACTCTCTCCGTTTCAATTTGATTGGCACAGAGTTTAAGAAAGTAAAGAAGACTTTTGCCATCCGGACATACTGAATCAGTGAGATGATGTACCCAAAACCTGCTTAATCGAAAGGTATTTCTAGTTATCATTTCTTGCAAGGTCCTCCTGGTGCTTGCTACCTCCTACCAACACAGATACCAAATAACTCTATCTACTAAAATTTGTTAAAGTGGAACACCTTTGGTCCAACAAACAAAACGGACTTAAAAACTAATGGTGTCTATCAAAAAATACTACTTGGCATGTCTCATCTAGTCATGTTAAGTAGTTTAAGAAGAATGCTCAAGTACTATTGTATTAATTTTAGCAATAATAAGATCATGTATCAATTTGTTCTTGAGATAATAAATAACTACCTCTAAAACTTGGCCTATCTTTCGAACTACACCACTCCCTAGACTAGTTCGAATGGTATTGATAGCACCTTTTTGCACTCATGTAGATAGTGTTTGCACGTACAAGAAGTGTGTGAGATGAAAAAAAAGCTCTTTGTATGGGTCATGGGTTGGAACTGTGGAACGAAGCTCTAATGCTTGTGTTAGAATAGGTTGTCTACCCTGCTAACGCAGGACACCCTTTTCTTTCAATAATTTTCTTCCATATATGGTCCAATGGACAGTTAACATAGTATCTCAATATTGACATGTCTATCCAACCCAACAAACTTTTAAAAAAAAACATGAAGGAAATTACAACTTGAAATCAAATGATTGAAGTACTTAAGAATAGTAGTTACACAATTTAACCAATTCAACATCCACCACCTCCTCCACCACCACCACCTCCTCCTCCTCCTCCTCCTCCTCCTCCTCCGCCACCACCACCTCCTCCTCCTCCTCCTCCACCACCTCCTCCTCCGCCATCACCACCTCCACCTCCTGCACCACCGCCATCACCACCCCCTCCTCCACCAAAACCACCCCCACCTCCACAACCATCACCACCACCACCCCCTTCTCCACCAAAACCACCACCTCCTCCTCCTCCGCCACCGCCTCCTCCAACAAAACCACCACCACCACCCCTTCCTCCACCAAAATGACCATCACCACCTCCACTACATGTTATGCTAGTGAGAGTAGCCATGCCAATAGCACCATCACCTACACTATGAATGTTTCCTCCTCCACCCACAAGACTCTTTTTCTTTTTCTTCATCTTGCTGGAAATAATTACATAGCTCATAATGAAGACAACAAACATCGCAAACAAAGTTAGGACCGTAAGGAGTATGATAGTACCTACCTTCATGTTAATAATTTCTATGACTATCCTAAGGAGTTTATGCTCCTATATATATTGTATGTATTTCGACAACAACATGATGAGGAATATAAACCAAAAAAATAAAGGAAAATATGTCAACAATAACAACTTCAAGATGCGTCTACCATAAGAACGCAAATTTCCAATGAATTTTCAAGCCGAAATATGAAATTTCTAAATTCTACAACTTTTTACATGCAAAAATTATTACCTGGAGAATTATTTGGGTCGACTAATCTGTTGGTACCATTTTCATAGGTGAATTCGTAAAGTAATGAATAAACTAATTTCTATGTTAGTTTGCAAGAAAATGCCTAGATAAAGTTACTTGCAGATTTAGCTAAGAATACTTATGTATGGATTTATCTAAGGATTCAAGTTCTAAGAATTTTGTTGGGGATTTATTTATTGAGGATTTACTTGAGAATTTTATTGATACAAATTTGTTAGGAGTTTTTTTTTTTTTTTGGGATTTACTTGGGAATATGTATACTTGAAAATTTTGTTGTTGCAATTTTAAGTGGAATTGTTTTTCTTCAAAATTTATCTAAGAACTTTTTTATTTGGAGATTTACCAAGTAATATTTTCTTAGAAATAGGTTTAAGAAAATTAAAATTATAATAATTATAAAAAACTATAATGACATTACAAAATGAATTTTATCGTTAAATGTTGACTTTTTATTTTCAAGTCAAATAAATTATTAGAGTAGTAATCTCACTTTGATACGATATTGGAACATTACTAGGAAAAAAAGGTGTTGAAAATAAAAGTGTAAAAGAAACAATTGAAATTATCATTTATCATAATTAGTTAATTTTTTTTATTTGTATAAATGCCATGCACATTTTTCAATTCTATAAATGTTGACTTTTTTTTTTCAAGTCAAATAAATTATTAGAGTAGTAATCTCACTTTAATACGATATTGGAACATTACTAGGAAAAAAAGGTGTTGAAAATAAAAGTCTAAAATAAACAATTGAAATTATCATTTATCATAATTAGTTAATTTTTTTATTTGTATAAATGCCATGCACATTTTTCAATTCTTTTTAATATACATGTTGTTAAATTTTAATCCCATGTAAAAATTAATGTGTCAATTTGTTCTTGAGATAATAAATAACTACCTCTCAAACTAGCATCCTCCCATCTTTCCAACTACATCACTCAACTTTGCAGGGTCCTATTACTCCGTTGCACGTATAAGAAGTGTGTGAGAAGAAAAATAAATTTATCTTTGTATGATCTATAGATCAATGATTTGAACCGTGGAAACAAGCATTAATGTTTGTATTAAGATAGATTGTCTATCTTAACTATAACTCGGGATGCTTAGTGCACCAGACTACCCTTTTCTTTCGTTAATTTTCTTCCATATATCGTCCAAACAAACAAGTATCTCAACATTGACACTTCTATCAAAAACCAACAAGCTTTAAAAATAAAAACATGAAGGAAATTACAACTTGAAATCAAAACATTTTACTATATAGAATAGTAGTTACATTTTTGACCAATTCAACATCCACCACCACCTCCTCCTCCTCCTCCACCACCACCACCACCACCTCCTCCACCACAACCACCACCACCACCACCTCCTCCTCCACCAAAACCACCCCCACCACCAATACATGTTATGCTGGTTAGAGTAGCTATACCAATAGCACCATCACCTATTCTATGAATGTTCTCTACTCCACGAGAATTTCTACTTCTTTGGGTTGCATTGTTACCAGCAGGACTCTCATTGTTCTTCTCTGTCTTGCTGGAAAACGCGATAATAAGAACACTAAGAACCACAATCACAGACACAGGTAAGGCCACAAGGAGTAACATAACAACTTCCTCCATGTCAAAAAATAGAAGACTAAGACGCGTAATTATATATACTGTCCTTAAGGAATTTAAGCTTCTACTATATTAACACGATGAGAATATTAATCAGAGCAAAGAAATAAAGGGAAATGTGATTATAGTAAGATGAACACGTACAAAACAAGAACTTTAAATGGTATAACTTCAACATGACTTTAATGTGTTATATATTGAGGTATTTTGGTTTCTTAACTTTACGTAATTTCTGCATGAAGACATGTGTTTGCACATGAAAATTTGAGAATATTAATCCAACTTGTGTTGAGTCTTCATTGACTTTATTGAAATTTACTTGGAATGTCACAACATGGGAAAGAACAACCTTTTAATATTATTTATTAACAGATCGTTTCAAAATTAAAGTGACGTGAGAAGAAGATCATCACTAACCGTCGTCGATTTGAGAATATAATTAAATAAATAAAATGTGTTATTTTAAACCGTATAAATTTTTAGATTAGATGGTCACACACTTCAACATAGTATTAGAGCAGACGTCCCGCACGCTTTCTCTAACAGCTTGTCAGAGGCTAACCCATGTTTTGAAGACTTCGGATGCACAAATATTAGGGAAAACTACATAAATGGGCCATAAAATCAAAAAATAATTACAAGTTCATACCCAAATCCAAAGTAATTCCAAAAATACCCATTCTCTCATAAATAATTACAGTCCATACCCTCATTCATTAAGGGTGATAATTTTCGCTTAAGTGATACTAAATCGGTATCATATACTGTATTGGTATCATTAAGGTTGATAATTTGGCTTAACTGATACTAAATCAGTATATATATACTGTATTGGTATCATTAAGGTTTTTTGTTAAAAAATTACTTATTAGTCAATGATACTATAAGAGTATATATGTATATTGTTGTGGTATCATTAATATTTCTTGTTCAGAAATTACTCATTAGTCAATGATACTATAAGAGTATATATATATACTCTTATAGTATCATTTTCTAATGAGTAATTCTTGACAGCAAACCTTAATGATACTAGTACAATATATATATACTGATTTAGTATCAAGTCAGCGAAATTATCTGCCTTAATGATACCAATATAGTATATATGGGGTATTTGCTTATTTTCCCCCAAATATTACCTTAGCTCAAATATGAGCTCTAAGATAAACTTAAAAAATAAAAATAATAAAATAGCATTGTAGCTAGATTCAAATCCATGTCTCATGGGTACTGATTCCTCTAGTTTGAACCAGCAACACAATAGCAAACCTACACTCTTCATGGGTGCACGGTTATCTATATCCTAATTTATGTCAGTTTTCAAGATAGATATATAGTTATACTGACATGATTTTTACCCGAAGTTATTATAGGGTGGGTCCGCCTCTGCAGCTTATAGCTTTTAGTCAATCACATAAGTTTGTTTTACCACCATTAATCACTATTTACAAATTACAATCATCATCATCAGCCACCATTACAATAATAAATCACTAACGACAATCATTACAATCTTCCCGAAAGCTTGTATATAGGAATTAACATCCATAAACACGAAGAGATAGACTATATACATATAATTAACTTGTGAATGATTGTCATCCAGAATTAGTGAGTGTAATTATGTAAATCTTTATGCTACTTTAAGGTGGAAAATTAAAAGATTAGGGACAAACAAATTTTTCATAGCTAAATAGCAAAAATCTCATACTTATCCAATTTAGCTATGAATTAGCGACAGATTTGTCAAGGCTCAAATTTCTTAAGAATAGATATTACTCTATTATATATTATCGAATTATTATTCAATTTCTATATAGTAAGTATGTGAAATTGCACGTCTTGGAATTTTTACATTATTTCCTTCACTTAACTTTTATAAGAAAGTTCTTCTCCTATATATACTAACAAAATACTCACAACTCTTCAAGAACAACTATAAATTATACACACATATTCAACTTTCAAGAACCTCTTTTTAAGTTTCTTGAAACCTATTTTTCTCCTACATTGTCCAATCGGAGACGTAACACAAAATAATAGAGTAATTAATAGTTATTATTTCAGAAAGTTACTTTCTTTATTGAAGAAAAGTAGAATCGAGTAACTAAAAGGATAACTCAGATAATAACTTATTAGTTGAATATCAATACTAGAAATGAACTCCAAACTTATATCTACTTTGACATTTCTAACAAAACAACAAGATTTTATATAATATAACATGAGCGTTGAGTGATATATATATACATTATAGCAATTTGAATTATTTAAGTACTAAAGAATAGTAATAACATGACTTTGACCTATTCAAAATCCACCACCACCACCTCCGCCACCCCAACCACCACCACCACTATGACCAAAACCACCACCACCGTCACATTGAAAACCTCCGAACATATTACTTGTATCACACGTTATGCTTGTTAGAGTAGCCATAGCAAGAACACCAACACCAACACCAGCACCATCAATATTATTGTTCCTTCTTCCACCAGAAACTCTACTTGTTTGGGTTGCATTCAATATTCCACCACCAGGAATAGTTTCAATATTCTTCAACATCTTGCTACAACAAATACAACAAATAAATGACATAACAAATGCCACAAATATACCTAGAACCAAATATAGTACCATAATAGATTCATTATCCATCTTAATATATAACTATTTTTCAAATATTGTACATCCTTAAGAAATTTATGCTTTTACAAAGTTTAAGTAGAGAAAATTTGTATTTGGATAAGAGCACGATGAGTATATATATTTCAGAGCGAAGAAATAAAGGAAAATGTGATTGTATTTAGGAACTTCAGTACGACTTTTGTGTGTTATATATTGAAGGCATGTGCTTGCACATTTATTTGATTTGTGGAATATAATTAATCCAACTTGAGTTTGAGTCGTCGTTGACTTTCTTGAAATTTACTTTGGATGTCAACTATGTGCAATAGACAAATTCAGTACGCAAGTTCTATCGAAAAAATATGTAAAATATTTTAAACTTGTGACCTTCATTTGAAAAA